CAACATTTGTTACAGATCGATGGGCAAGCAGATCACAGTATCAAAAAGTGCATAAAAGACTTACCCTTGTACTGTTGACATAAAAATTGAAAATTAAAAAGTCAATTCCAAGAAAGAATGGTAATGATGTTAAAGAGCTTTGAACGGTAGCGTGTCATATCAAACCACATAAAGTGCGAGGTCAAGTAAAGGAAACCCATCAGCACAGATATGCATGGTTGTCACAGTCCATCAATCAGAATCAAGGAAGTTGAGGTGTTTCTAGTACCAGGAATATAGTATAGGATATTCCCAAGCAGACAGTTTAAGGACTATAGTCAAGGATGTTCTGGAGTTCACAGACCAAGGACTATAGTCAAGGATGTTCTGGAGTTCACAGACCAAGGACTATAGTCAAGGACATTCTAGAAGTTCACAGACCAAGGACTATAGTCAAGGGTGTTCTGGAGTTCACAGACCAAGGACTACAGTCAAGGGTGTTCTGGAGTTCACAGACCAAGGACTATAGTCAAGGGTGTTCTGGAGTTCACAGACCAAGGACTATAGTCAAGGATGTTCTGGAGTTCACAGACCAAGGACTATAGTCAAGGGAGTTCACAGACCAAGGACTACAGTCAAGGATGTTCTGGAGTTCACAGACCAAGGACTACAGTCAAGGATGTTCTGGAGTTCACAGACCAAGGACTACAGTCAAGGGAGTTCACAGACCAAGGACTAACATCAAGTCATGGATGTTTAGGAGCTGACAGAGTAAGGATCTTTATCAGAGACTGGAATCCACAAACAGCAGACACTGCTGCCTTAGAGATGCAAATCTCTGCCTAATACCACTTGAGTTCCAAAAGAAAATGAAAAGACAAGGTATATCAAAGGCTCTTTTTAGTCCACAAGATCTAAAGTATTTAGGACAACCATTGAAATAATTGTGACAGTTGTCATGTGTATCATCATATAGATAATAATCAGTCATTGTTCATTCAAAAATGAAGATGAGTGAGTTGAGTTGGACAACTGACATAAGCACAGGAATGGTGCTGAGAAACATAGACGTAAAATCAGGTTTCATTAGTTTCTGGCTTACCCAAAGGACCCAGCTCTTCACAGCAAACTACAGCTCGTCCATCCATGCCCCCAAGATGCAGGTGAAGGCTACAGAGTTATTGTTACTTGTATTGACATGTCCAGCAACTTAATAACAATATTACAAGCTTTATTGTTTCAAATTTGACACATCCAGTGGCAAACAGAGCCCTTATAATACCTGATCTTCTGTAATGATAACAAACCAGATACATATGTATGTAGACCAGATGCCAATATATTCTACAGCACAAAACACAGTGAGGACAGTACTAGCACTTGCTGATGTCAGCAAACAAACTAAATATAATATAATATAGAGTGTTTTCAGGTACATTGCACAAGGAACTACATCCAACCCTGCTGGCCATAATACAATTGCATCCCACAGGCAGAAGGTGATTGACAGGGTCTTCAGTATAACTGGCCTTCTCATATCCTGAAGCCAATGGCTCAAAGCAACTGTTTCTGTGACAGTTGTTGGTGAATAAAGGTGATGGGCCGGAGAGACTTAATCCTGAGTGAGTGAGTGAATGACTCACTGAGTGAATGAGGGCAATCGAATAAGGTTCTTTGCAGATAGTTGCTGATGCAGCCCTAAGCAATAACAAGCTTCCTCACAAGTCCAAGCTTTAGCCACTAGACTACCAAATTGACTCATGAAGACTTATGACTTCACTTCACAGTTCTTAGACCTTGAAACTGCCTTACCTTAACACACACCACCTACAATTGTCCCTATATGGACTTGTAATACTTGTAGATTTATCTACATTTGACACCACTGCACATTAGCAAGGCTATTTTTGTTGTCTTATGAATATGCATGAGTAGTTGACAATGATTTTGTCTGCATCAGAAAAGGTTAAATGCAAGCATAATTTTATTGAATAAATTACTGAATCTTCACACATAGCCCAAGAAATATATGTAATAGGATAGGTATTATCAATTTCAGCTTTTAACTTGATCATTGTACACTTGAGTCAGTTTTCACATCTGATAAATAATGAATTTGTCAATGTTAATGGTGCTTAATATGATATACATTTGCTCTTTGACTGAACCATATGTAAAACTTTGAAGGTAAGATTGTTCATGGAATGTTCCTGTCAACTTCCCCCCAGTTCTGTCGTACATTCAGTTAGTGACTAGGACTGTGAAACACACCTCTGACACCAAACACACACAAACGTTACATACAGTGGTGTACCTGGAATGTATTCAACAAGCAGCATTGCACAATTCCTCAGTGTATAACACAGGCTCCCATCCCGTAATGAGTATATACAAAATGCCTATAAACAGAAGTAGTACTTTGTGCAGAGCATAACGGGTAAGGGGAGATATTGCTCGACATGAAAACTAAGTCCCATAACTCTCCCTGTTTTTATGCTAAATCTTGTATACCGGATCAGTAGTATTAGCAATATCATTCCTAATATACAGTGTTATCCAATCGGGAATTATAAATAGATTCAAATTATTCAATGTCCTCTACTGCTTGGTGAACAATCTTATAACTGAATTTATATTTCAAATAAATGCATTAAATATTTTGTTCACAAATTTAGCTCTAGAAAAATATTTTGTTCAACAAAACCAGGTCATATTTTGTTTTAATTTAAAGTAAATAATTGACTGCATATAGCTAATTTTGAGCATTTCCTGTTTGTGCCCTGGTTTTAACTAAAACAATATGTAACTAAAACAATGTACTTCACATGAAATATATATCTTACATTCATTGTTTACTTTATAAATTTCCCATCTAATCAATTGTTATGTATTTTCTGTTTGTCTCCCACATTAAAACTGTATAATAAGAAATATATAATAGAGCACACCCAAAATCACTTATTTCAGACATTTTCAATCATATACAAACATCACAATTTAATATCAAACTCAAAATACCCAGAAAAATATTAACTACTCTCTTCAAAACCACCAATGGCAGTTCACATGACCATCTTACAATACAATGCACACTAGCCTCAAACACAATACAGTCTCAACTGTCACATCTTCTGTAGATGAGTATAAATCTACCAGGAAGTCTGAGACTTAGAGTAACCTAAAGAAAAATTGATAGACTCTTAAAAGAGTAAAAAATCTATACAAACCTATGACAATATACAATGTTTCTATGATAACAGTTATATATATATATATATATAGTCTGGGAGATAAATATGGTATCACAGCAGTGTCAGTACGCTTCAGATCCTAATGTTTCTAGGACGTGCCTAGTGCCATTACACATGCAATATTAAAAGAAAATACATAGTTTATGGCAATACTACAATATATACATAGTTCTATGTACACAAGAAGCCTATTACCAACCTGATGCTGTAGCAGTTATTACATATTGGTATTTGTGAACAATGGATATCAACATTAACATTCAAAACAGGCTGAAGAAAATGGAAAGTCTGTTAACATTTATAATAATCAGCTCAAAGTGAGCTATTGTCATTGTTTGCAATTCAGATTAACCTTCACAATTTCATTTCAGTCAAATACTGTCAAGATGTCTTAATCATTTCACATATTTAACTATATGTGACATATCGATCAATATTTGTAACATTACATTTAAAGCAAGCAGGTTTCTGCTCAGTTTGGAGTGAGTGAGTGAGTGAGTGAGTGAGTGAGTGAGTGAGTGAGAGTTATATTCACATATGGGAAATCAAATACCTGGTCTTCGTCATAATGAACATTAAGAACAAGGCAACAACACTGACTCCTAAATAAGCATTAAGAAATGAAAGTCATTGTTGAATGAATTTAACAATAACATATGATAAATCTCCATAAAAGACTTTAAACAAGGAAGATAATAACCATATCAGATATAATATCACAAGAATATTAAAGTCATCACTGATACGTATAGAAAAAGCTCCTGCACTAAATCACCAACATCAATATGATGCAGGACATGGTAGTCAAGTCTGTAGACCAAGATATGGCTTCTTCTATTGTCAACATGAGCAAGTGATGGGCAAGTTCTCATGCAATCCAAGCTACAGTTAACAAGTCAACAAACACACTGTCATCTTCAGCTGGTCTTGACAAGGTAGTGTAGTTCATAATTGCTACATATTTAACTGAATATACACTCATGGTCTTACATAAGAAGCACATGCTCATTTGATTTTTACGCACTTTATAGGAACAAATTCTTCAAGGCAAGTTCTTGTCCAATACAGAACAACAAAATACTTTATTATCCAAAATTTGTTTTCAGAGGTGATATTGATTGACATTTCAGCAAAGGCCCTGCAGACCATCGTGACATCATCAGTTACCACAATGACACCACTAATGTCTCTGTACCTGTACCTTGGACAGTGAAGGCCCCGCTTATTATCAGGCAAACTCTAGCATTTCACATTATAAGCTACATGAGTGACATTCTCCATCTCTCCTGAGTTGGTTTATGTGATATGCTCCTTACATGGGATCCTTTAGTGAGATAGAGCATCTTTTTGGGTGTGTAGGTGAGCGAACTGGGTTTAACCACGCTCTGTCTCCCCATGATATGACAATGTGGGTGGTATGCCTGAAGTGATACAGATCTCAGATGTCTACACCTTTGGGGATACCTACAACTCTAAATATAACTCTGACACACCCAGAAATATAATCAAGGGTTAAAACCATGATCATACATCTCTGGATTGTTCAAGGGACACAACTCTGCAATGCAAATTGTGAAATCCATTATGTTCCATATTACTCTGACCTGACACTGGTTGTGAACTGTAGCAGAAGGAATACATTCCTGCCCATTTAGCTCCTACCTTCTCAAGACCGCAGACACTGCCTGTCTATAACAACAACAAGTTCTAGCCCAATGTGCTGAGCATCGTAACATGATAAAGAATGAAGTAACAATATTCATGGTGGCGTTAGATGCTATGAGGAGGTGACATCTCCGCATCAGTGATGTCCATGCCATCATCCTCAGGTGGGGTTTGTGGTGTTGTCTGGGAGTGACTGAGCTTGCTGAGCCGCACAACTTCTTGGGACATTATCTCCAGATCCTGAAACAAAGAGTGGGTGAGTGAGTTTGGCTTGACATTGACCTTGACCAATAGGTCAGTTCTGTGTGAGCTCCTCAAAGGAAAATAGTTATGCAGGCTGTTTGTATATACAATGAACATAGTGGATTAATGTTGCCAGATGCATAGCAAGCCAATTTTATCGTGTAAGCCTGATAGGTTGCAAAGCTTTATATTTACATAGTACTGAGGGATTGCCCAGCCTTTTTAGCAAAAATCATGTGTAAGCCCGGGCTTTTTATTTTTTATTGGTAGCTACGCCCCTGGTTGCAAAAGGATAATCTCCGATATTCTAACTGTATCATCCATTTTGGACAAGGCAAACCTGTGACTGACAACATGGGCAACGATCCACACCATCAATGACACACAATCAATCAGTCACAAATCCTGACCAACTAATCCACAGTCTCTCTTCTGAAAAGCATAAGGTACTTGGAACATATTCTGACCAAGGATCTCCACATAAACTGGTGATAGAAAGAATTCACTAGAAAAATGGATTTGACAAAAACATCGCAAAGGTCATTTGTAGGCTGAAACTATTGCTGAACCACTGCAACTTAAGGTCCAGGGAGCCATTGTGCAAAGCGATCTTAGCGCTAAGGTGACCGGAACTCCCATACCTTAACATAGACTTAAGGTAGTCTTAGCGCTAAGGTTGTTTTGTACAGTACAAAGGCACCCAGGGCCTCCTTTCACAAAGCACTAAGGTGACTGTAAGTCACTGAGGTAACCTTAGTGCAATGTTAAAGAATGGGAGTTAAGGTTAACCTTAGTAAAGGTTGCTTCGTGAAAGGAGCCCCAGATCACACCCATACTGTCCACATCAGATACACTTGCACCAAATAACCCTTTATAGTTTGGTTCATAATTTAAGCCACCATGAAAGATGGATGCATACTCTCTTTTGCCTAGCAGTGAAGCAGCACATGGTTTGGTTGGCTGTTTATTGTTTCAGCAACACAACTCAGCAATACTTAGGTGTATAACAGTTGTCTCTAAATAGCCAAGTATGGACTAGACAAATATCAAACAAGTGCTTGACACACAAAGATCATAATCTGGATTTGAACTCATGTGTGTCTTGGAATGCAAACGGAATCAGCTCGGTGAAACATGGTTTATCATACCGCTGGGCCACCCACTGCCTCCCTACTGACATACATACAAACATTAGTACACTTAGTACACTTAGTGACTTAGCGTCAGGGATTTGCCAAAAGTGCTGCTAATTGACACAAACATCATCACAGCTGACTAAGTGCTTGGCTGGATTTAGGTCACATCACGATAAGGATTATCATAACACACTTTAGCACACAAACCCCATTCTAAATCTGGAACGAAAAAAGAGGAGTAGCGCCCACTGTTTTTCTATTTCAATTAACACAGCCTGGACAACCAAAATCCCAATGCCAGCTTGAAGCTAAGTTAATATGCTAATCTAATTAGCCAACCCTTTACCACATGACTACAGGCATTATCACAAATAATATGTGTTCATTTACCAGATGATCAGCACCTAATTGTTCATCTTTATTCACGGTAGCCCTTTTCATTTTTCGAAATCCGAACTTAGTAAAAAAATTATGGATTCTGTCGAATTACAAGGACTTATTTGCTAAATATAATTGATTAGCTAAGCCATACCCTTCAACACAACTAACCATTAAGATTGCTAAAAGGTGTATGATTTGCAACTGGTGGCCAACCCTAAGGGTTGTGAAGGTGTCAGACAGGGGTACAAAACCTTTATAATCGTAAAGGGATGCTTGATTCGAAAGAGAATCCAAGGGATAGGGTGGAGTGTAACCTCTCCTAACCCTTCCACAGTAACATTAAGCACTAAAGTCAGGCTCATGAGATTCCATATAGCTGGAATATGCATGAGTGCAGCGTTAAGCAACAAATAAACAAATGCAATCTCTAAAATTGTTGTCATCAAAATACTGGAGTGAAGAGATGGGATGATATTGTCCTAGTATTTTGTTCACAATCTGGTTTAATACAGCACTGAAGTACAAAGAGGCCCCAGCAAGGGTCTTCATGCTGAAAAACATCCCACTCAATGTCCTCAGAAGTAAGCCTAATGTATTGGTCATTTCATCAAAATCCCAGTCAGAAATGCAGTTAAATGAAGTAATTTGTGGGCCATTATGTCGAGCTGATATACCAGAGACCGATTACAGACACCATGATGGATGCAGTGGCCCAATATTTGGCATGCAGGAACGTCAGTGGAATAAACAAGCAGCAATTAATTCCAGGTTCTTATATGACAGGGTTACAGTTGACATTTTATTCGAGGTACTGGGAACATATAGGGCAGGATGAGGTCATTGCAGTCCTCATACTTCCCTTCTCCAGACAGGAATGTAATCAACCAATCACAGAAAGGTTTAACTGACACTGGCTGTCAGAACTCCCTGTCACCTAGCCTCTCAGCCAATAAGAAGTCTTGTTTCAGTTCTACCTGAGAAGTGGAAGACAATTGCAAGACAAAGCTGACAAGAGTATGTCAATCCTGGGTCATAATGCCCAAGGGAGATCAGAGGTGTTATCAATGACATGACGATTCTATCATGCAGAAAAAAAGGTAATTGATTATTTTAAAATAATGAATCATTTTAACTCGCTCTACTGACAGAAAGTGTCACATCTAGAGGGGAATTTTATCAATTATTGTCAAGATCCACACTCCCTGGTGCACAAGGGACATGATTTGACAACCAATGTGGAAAGTCGGTTCTTGCCTGGCATTTGCAGATCTTTAAATAGCTTTTAATGTAATAATCAATTCGTAGTTCAAGGACTTAGGATAAAGACAGAAACAACTGAATTTCTGTATGAAAAGAAATCTGTCAACCAGATCTATAGGTTGAAAGAAAATGAAAAGACTCCACTTCCGATGTATGAGACAATGGGTTCTGTAGCTCACCTGTCACAAAATACAGTCAAGATAGGGTCAACTATGAGTGAATGAGTGAGTTGAGTTTTTACACCACTTTTAGCAATATTCCAGCAATATCACGACAGGGGTCACCAGAAATGGGCTTCACACATTGTATCCATGTGGGGAATCAACCCTGGGTCTTTGGTGTGATGAACAAATGCTTCAACCACTAGGCTACCCCACCACCCCGGGTCAACTTTCAAACGAATGAGACAATTGTGACATGCTGACAAACACATCACTTATTGCTGAAAGGATACTTGCTATATGGCTCAGAATCTAAGAATAATTTTTCATCACTGGGAAGATTTCATTGATGATGCAGAACATAGTAGAATCTTCCACAATTCTGAAAATCTCTTTGACATGTGTTGGGCAAATGGTGAATACTATTGGAACACATTTCGTTGAGGCAGTTTGCAAAATCGTTCCACAATAGTCTAGCTGTTTAATACTGTTACAGGCATTATTTATATGCACTGAATCACTGACACAAACTACAAGTAACAGCATAATGAAACTGCAAATTCAAAGACCAGCACCTACCGCACAACCAGAACCAAAATGTAAGTATTACTTCTCACAAGTATATTTCGAGACATATTACAATAGGCTGATGACATGAATGAGTCAATGAATTATTGGACATAGGTTACCGACTCTCCATTTCTGAAAAACATTGTGTACCTAAGCCTTTTATATTTGTGACACCTTGCTTTTGAGTTCGCACACAAAAGTATCAAAATCAATCCTACGATTAACCACTAATGTTGTAGCACAGCAGGGTTGGGCAAGCCAGCTATGGAACACAATTCAAACCTTTGAAATCCTTTTTACACATCAAGAACAATATGCAAAAACTAATCGGGAAAGTCATGTCCCTGACTGAAGTCATGATTATGTCAATATTACAGTGTTCAGATTTCAACATGCCTCTACTGCAAAACTCCTTTCTCAGACACTTTCTCTCACAAGTGATACTACAGAATATTAATATTGACTTAACTAACATATCATTTTTGGGGATTCACCAACATGGAGGATCTACATTCAAATGATAAAAGTACAATACCATTTTTTTCATAAAGTGTTATCATTTATATAAGCCAGAAGTAATATTTCATATTACCATTTCAATAACAAAAAAACATTTTGTGGTTATTTCCTGTTTCAAAGATCGGCTAGCACGACACTTCCTGAGAATGGAGATTTCATATTTAATGCCATCAGGGCTAGGGCTAGAAATTCATACAGCCAACCTGTTATCAGTAGGAATCATTATTACAGCTGTTGTGTTTCTATTATCGGTCCCTTCGCTAATTTACAATTTGTCTTCTTCATTACAAAAATTAGCTTTCTGGGCTGCAATTTGAAGCATCAATAACAACCTTGGCTAGGAGACTGATTTATCAAATACCTAGAAACACTGTAGACAGGGATAATTATATAACAAAGTATGATAAGAAACTAATAAGCTTTTGGGTGTGTGCTGATAATGAATTGTACAGTACAAGTACTGTAGCATTTAATACACATAGGAAATTGAAGTACACTGTTATATTTCTATGTATTTTAAGAGGGTGAGTGCACTTTGAACATGTGAGTTAGGTTGTTTGGAGGAAAGTCTAAGGGACCGTTCATAATTTATGGCTAGGTGCGTGATGATGATTTTTATGGAGAAGCATATACAATGTCAGTGACACCCCCCAAAAACACCCAAACAAAACTGAAAAACAAAACAAATTTATGTACAAAGTATGTGTGTCATGTACAAAATCAATGACCCCCCCCTCCCCTTTCCATATATTTTTAAGCTTAATTTTAAAATATATTTATGCACAAAATTGCTGAGAGGCATAGTCCACATATTTCCATAAAACTACTCCACCAGTTGTCCAATTTATATTGTGTTGTTTGTGTTTGAAGGACTTATTGTTAGATACAGGAAACAACCGATGCTTTGTATATTGTGATGTGGAAAAAACACCTGTTGCTTTCATTGAGGTAGGTATTTCCACTCTCAAGT